GTAGTAGTAGTAGTAGTAGTAGTAGTAGAAGTCGTAGTAGTAGTAGTAGTAGTAGTAGTAGTAGTAGTAGTAGTAGTAGTAGTAGTAGTAGTAGTAGTAGTAGTAGTAGTAGTAGTAGTAGTAGTAGTAGTAGTAGTAGTAGTAGTAGTAGTAGTAGTAGTAGTAGTAGTAGTAGTAGTAGTAGTAGTAGTAGTAAGTAGTAGTAGTAGTAGTAGTAGTAGTAGTAGTAGTAGTAGTAGTAGTAGTAGTAGTAGTAGTAGTAGTAGTAGTCGTCGTCGTCGTCGTAGTAGTAGTAGTAGTAGTAGTAGTGGTAGTAGTAGTAGTAGTAGTAGTAGTAGTAGTAGTAGTAGTAGTAGTAGTAGTAGTAGTAGTAGTAGTAGTAGTAGTAGTAGTAGTAGTAGTAGTAGTAGTAGTAGTAGTAGTAGTAGTAGTAGTAGTAGTAGTAGTAGTAGTAGTAGTAGTAGTAGTAGTAGTAGTAGTAGTAGTAGTAGTAGTAGTAGTAGTAGTAGTAGTAGTAGTAGTAGTAGTAGTAGTAGTAGTCGTATTAAAAATAATAATTCGCCGGCCGAGCGGGCCAGAGGCGTGCTAAGATTTCTGGTAACTGGTTAAAAATACATTCTGTTTCGCGCGCGCGGAGCGGCCCCTGGGGGTCCATCGGCGAAGAATACCCCGACCGCTGCCCGCAGCCCGGCCACTGCTACTCAGAGATGGTGTTCCTCCTGGGTGCGGTCTCTGAGGCCCCCCAAAGCGCGCCAAGAGGGCCCCAAGAGGCTCCCAAAACAGCCCAAAGGCGTTCCGAGTCACCGAACGAGCGGTCAGACGCCCAAGATGGCTTCATACGGCCCTCGGGGCCGCCGAGAAGCCCCAAGAGAACCCCAAGAAGCTTTCCAAGAGGGTTCCAACAAACAAAAATCGTCCCACTCCCGAATGACAGCGTGCATTTTTCGCATATGCGACGCGAGGGGTTCACAGCGTCCAAACGTGCCCAAAAGGCCCCACTGATCGCCCCAAGACGGCCCAACAAACCACCAAGATAAACTCAAGAGGGTCCAGAGACACTCCCAGATACCTCCAAGATGGCCTAAAACGCCTCCAAGACGGCTCTAAAAACGAGCCCACACGGGGCACCCGAACGGACATTTTGAGCTTTTTGCCCGGAGGGTCCCCTGAAGGCTCCAAGAGGCCGCCAACACGCCTTCAACAGGCCCACGGAGGCCCCCCAAAGGCCCTCAGCAGGCCCCCGCGGAAGCTACCCATGCCAGAAGGCTGTCGAGCGCCCGAGCAAAACGCGCGCCTGCGCTGACGGCGGTAGCGCTTGCCTCGGGTCGGGCGAAAGGGGGGGATAGCAAAGGGGGGGTTTGAGAATCAGCTCGCGTAGCTGATTTTCCCGGCGCCTCCCGGCTCCCGGCGCCGGAGGCGGCTATGTATCGAGGAGTGGGCCCGTCGGTGGGGCCGAAATCAGCAGCATGTAGCAAATTTCATAACCCCCCCTTTCCCAATCCCCCCCTTTCGTCCGGCCCGATTGCCCCCGAGGACGTCGCAGTGGTCGAGCCTTGGTTTGCGTTCCCTGGCGCCGTTCCTAAAGCAATTCGCAGGAAGACATGTCGAATGTCGGCGGAACCGCGCCCGGCGCTTTGGAGACCTCGCCCCCCGTCCGCGGCGCCGTGCTCGGCATGGGCGTTTCCGACCGAAGAAGTGAGACTGCGCTCAGTGAGTGTAAAGATGCTGGGTCCGATGGGCGACCGCCGCTTCGAGCCAGGACTGCGTCGCTGATGATTCCTACCGGGCTACGTTTCGACGGGATAGGATGTTCGATGTGTTTTGAAGGCTAAGAGCTTCCGAGGCGGAAGCAAACGCCGAAAACAACGGAAAACAACAAACAACACCGTCGAACAAACAATAAACAAAAACATATGGCCATGCCTTGCACCATCTCCATTTGCCTCGGCCCCCTGATCCCAGAGAGGATTCATCGGGGGACCTCCGAAGCGAAAGAACAACAAAAACAAATGAAAAAAAACAACCGCCGACAAAAACAATATAAAAACATATGGTCATGCCTTACACAATCTCAATTTGCGAGCGACAGGAGCCCCTGGGGCCCAAAAATTCCGGAAACCCAGAATCCCACCAGCCCTCTGGGCGTCGGTGGTTTAACGAGTTTCCTCTTCCACCCCTCCCTCTTCCCCTTCGGGTTCGGGGAAGGGTTTACCCCTCCCCCTACCCCCTCCCGCCTGACCTGGAAAGGGGGTTCCGCGGCGCGCTGGAGCGCCCAAGATCGACCCCTGGGAGGGCTAAGATTCGACACCCCTCACGAGGATCGTGGCTCCTGAGGGGGGGACTGTAATTAGGGAACCCCCCTTCGTTGATCGATCTCCTCCAAGATGGTGGCTCCGAGGCCCCCCAAGGCCCCCAGGAGGCCCCCAAGAGACCCCCAAGAGGCCCCAAGAGACCCCCCAGAGGCACCCAAGAAGCGCCCAGGAGGCCCCAAGAAACGCCCAGGAGGACCCCAAAGGCCCCAAGATGGCCCCAAGAGGCCCCGAGAGGGACCCAGGAGGCCCCAAAGAGGATGCCGAACGGCCCACAGAGGCCCCCCCGAGGCACCCAAGACGCCGAAAAGCCCCTCAGGACGACCCTCTACTCGCCTGAGCGTCGTTTCTGGACGGGCTGGTGGGGATACGCAAAGCGTCTAGAATTTAAAATAACGACAGCATTCCCCATGTTTTTCAATTCAAATGGATTGAAAATGTGCTCCAGGGGTCCTCCTGTTCCTGAAGTCTCCTCCGTGCGTCCCAGCCGGTAGGGCAAGAGCATGACCCAAGGGACCAGCGCGCCTCGACTCCTTCCTCCGCGCGTCCCAAAAAGGTACGTGCCAGAGCACGACCCAAGGGGCCAGCACGCCTCGACTCCTTCCTCCGTGCGTCCCATGGGTACGTGCCGGAACACGACCTTCCTCCGTGCGTCCGAGAGGGCACGTGCCGGAGCACAACCCCGAGCCAGCGCGCCTCGACTCATTCCTCGGTGCGTCCCAGAGGGTACGTGCCGGAACACAACTGAAAGGGCCGGCGCGCCTCAACTCCTTCCTCCCTGCGTCCCAGCCGGCACGTGCTGAAACACGACCCAAGGGGCCAGCGCGCCTCGACTCCTTCCTCCGTGCGTCCCATGGGTACGTGCCGGAACACGACCCAAGGGGCCAGCACGCCTCGACTCCTTCCTCCGTGCGTCCCAAAGGGCACGTACCGGAACACGACCCAAGTGGTCAGCGCGCCCCATCTCCTTCCTCGCGGCATGAAAACGAACAAACCGCCTGAGACATCCCCGCAAAATCGCCGCGAACGGGCCCGTGTCCTACCCCCTGGCGGCTCTCCTTTGGGGTGCTGAAACCAGTGCCCCGCCTGAGGCATCCTCAAAATCTGCTCTAAAAGCTAAGGGTGTCACGAAAACGAGCAAGCCGCATGAAACATCCCACAAACTGGCCGCGAACGGGCCTGTGATAACACCCCTGGCGGCTCCCCTGAGGGGTGCTGAAACCAGCGCCCCGCCTGAGACATCCTCACAATCTGCTCTGGAAGCAAAGGATGTTGGGCATGAAAACAAGCAAACCGCCTTGGACATCCCCACAAACTGGCCGCGAACGGGCCCGTGATAACACCCCTGGCGGCTCCCCTGACGGGGTGCTGAAACCAGCGCCCCGCCTGAGACATCCTCAGAATTTGATCTGAAGGCCAAGGATGTTGGGCATGACAACAAGCAAACTGCCTGGGACATCCCCACAAACTGGCCGCGAACGGGCCCGTGATAACACCCCTGGCGGCTCCCCTGAAAGGGTGCTGAAACCAGCGCCCCGCCTGAGACGTCCGCTTTGAGCGCCAAGGATGTCCGGCATGACAACGAGCAAACCGCCTGAGACATCCCACAAACTGGTCGCGAACGGGCCCGTGAAAACACCCTTGGCGGCTCTCCTGAGGGGTGCTGAAACCAGCGCCTCGCCTGAGACATCCTCAGAATCTGCTGTGAAAGCCAAGGATGTCGGGCATGAAAACGAGCAAACCGCTTGACACATCATCACAAACTGGCCGCGAACGGGCCCGTGAAAACACCCCTGGCGGCTCCCCTGAGGGGTGCTGAAACCAGCGACCCGCCTGAGACATCCTCACAATCTGCTCTGGAAGCCAAGGATGTTGGGCATGAAAACAAGCAAACCGCTTGACACATCCCCACAAACTGGCCGCGAACGGGCCCGTGATAACACCCCTGGCGGCTCCCCTTAGGGGTGCTGAAACCAGCGTCCCGCCTGAGACATCCTCAGAATCTGCTCTGAAAGCCAAGGATGTTGGGCATGACAACAAGCAAACCGCCTTGGACATCCCCACCAACTGGCCGCGAACGGGCCCGTGAAAACACCCCTGGCGGCACCCCTTGCGGGTCTGAGTATGACTTGGTCTGAATATGAATAAGTCTCAGTCAGGTCTGGAAACGAGTCTGGGTATGAGGAAGTCTGGGTATGAAGGAGTCCCAGCATGAGTAAGTCTGAGTTTGAGTCGGCCTGCATGTTGTGCGTTGAGTAAGTCAGACCATGAAAATATATGAGTATGAGTCGGTCTGAGTATGAGTAAGTCTGTGTATGAGTAGGTGCGTTATCTCTGGGGTCGGCGGCGTCCGAATAATAACCATGATCCATCTTAAGACATGGGGAACAAAGGGGGGCCGCGCTTCCGTGCTCGCGGCTCCTCGGGTCGGAATCGTCTCTGGCTGGGATTGAAGACGATAACTGAAGAGATTCTCAGAGATTCTGGGAGATTCTGAATCTCTGAGAATCTCTGAGAAAGGCGCGGGCTCAAGCCAGGCGCCCGGCGCGCAGCCCGCGGCCCCAGCGGGGCGGGCGCGCGCGACGGAGCCGCGCCCGTGAGGGGGAGATCCCCCTCGCCCGCGTGGCACAGGAGGCTGAGGAGGCGGATATCCTCGGCCCGCAAGCTCCTCGCGCTCGTGCAGGCGCGCGAGCTGCTGGGGGCGCGCCACGGGAGCATGGCGAAGATACCCCGGACCTGGGGCAAGAAGCAGCAAAACTGGCAGGTGGACCAGGACTACACCCGCTGTGCGACGCGGGGATGCAAGGGCTGGATCACGGACGCCATCTGGAAGCGAGGCCTACAGCACCGCCACTGCAAGGCGACCTTCAAGAAGCCGCGGAGCGCCAAGCCAGCGGAAAGCTCCTCCTCGACGAGCCAATCCTGGACAGGAAGCCGCCAGCGCGGAGGCGGAGGCCAGAAGGCGGAGAAGGCGGAGAAGCAGGAGCTCTCGCAGGCGCTGGTCGTCATTGCGGAGAGGCTGGGGGCCATGAAGCTGGAAAACAGCGAGAAGCTAGGCGCCCAGATGAAGGGGCTCGCGCAGCAAATCGCACAGGCCAATCCACCTAAGATGAAGACCGATCCTGAGTGGATGGCGGAGGCTGCCGAGGCGCTGAGGCTTGCGAACAAGCGTTTCCTGGCGGTGGCAGCGGATGCCAAGATGCGGAGGGCTTGGCTGCGAGAGCTAGAGGCAAAACTAAGCGAGAAGGCGGCGACCGCTGTCGAGAATGAGAACACCTTGGACGCGATCCACGCGGACGGCAAAGATGGGCAGCAGCAGAACTTCATGAAACACCTGATCACCCAGACACCCGAGGACATGGCGCTCGCCGGGATCATCGACCTCGAAGACGAGCTGGAGCTAGAGGATGACGAAATTGACGAGGCAGCGCGACAAGCGGTTGCAGAGGCCAAGAAGAAGGTGCTGCAGGACCTAAAAGAAGGAGCTAAGTCGCATGCGCAGCAGCTGCAGGAGCACATCCGAAAGGAAAGAGGAGGCAGCAAAGAACAGCGAGGCGATCGGACAGGAAGCAAAGAAGAGGATGGTGGAGACCCCGATGGAGGAGGCACCAGCTGCATCAGCTGCAGCAGGAGAACCCCCAGGCCCAGTCAGTCCTGCGACTATGGGGCCCGCGCCAGATGCCGCCGCAGTCAAGGTCGACAGCGACGGCGACGAGGAGATGGAGGAGGAAGTGATCAAGCAGGCCAGGGCCAAGCTCGCCAAGACTGGCGGGGCTGCCACTGGCAAGCAAGATTGACTCCTACACCCTGACGCCCGCACCTGCAAGACCGACCAGGGCGTCGGGCGAATCTTCGTCGGCACATCGCAACGTGGGACCCTGCTGTGGAGTCTTGGCTTCGGGGTAAGCACCTGGGGATCAATGGCAACAAGCACAGTGGGCAAGGGTTCGACGCGTCCCTAATTCAGGAGACCCACCTTCGACATCACCTACTGGAGGTGAAGGAGGAGCTGCTCAACAAATGGGGATTGAATTCGTGCTTCGCGGCATCTCAACCTTCCGTCAAGTCCGAGGGGGGCTCGAGAGGAGGGGCAATGATTGCCGCGAGGTCGCGTTGCAAGAGCTCGCTCTTCCGCGAGCGCGCGGCTCGCGGCAGTGCCTCGGGGGCCGCTGCTGGCAGTCGTAGCGGACGGGGGCAAGCCGAGGTGGCAGAAGTCTTTGGCCCACTTCAGAGGGGGGGCGAAACGGCGACGACATGGCATTTAAAGCGCTTTAGTCTCGCGATCATCTCGAGCTATCTGAGGCGCGGCCCTGCAGGAGGGAGCCAATGCAAGGCGATTGGCGGAGGTGGCGAGGTCTACGCGGCCTGTGCGCGCGCCCTGGATCATCGCGGGGGACGTCGGCGTGAGCCCGACCGGGTTCGCGGCCGAGGGCTTCGG